TGGTGGTGCAGCTGTTGGGGGCATGCCCTTATGTAAAGATGACCTTGGTCCTTTTCCCAAATACCCATTGCACCAGAGAACGTCCCCATTCCAGATGACAAAGCACTAAAGACAGCACATCCTGGTGTTCGCCTGGGAATGGGCTTTGGGAAGCAGGCTCTCCCACTGACACAATCCAGACTGCATGTTCTGCAGGTGTGGGTGATATCTGGAGCTGTCACAGCGATGTGGGACCCTGAAGGGAGCCTGGAAAATCTCCTCAGAATCCTGAAGCCTTAGATAGTGTGTGTGCAGGCCAGAGGGCCATGTTGGATGTGTTCAACATGCTGCAGTTTTATTGAGTCTCCCTAAGGTTTGGTGCTTGCAGAATTGGCTAGGATGTGGGCCAGCAACCTGAAGGGACCCACCTGTCTCTGCCTCCCCGTTGCTGGAGTCACATTTTACACACTGGTCTTCATGCCTGCAGACACTTTTGTGTTAACCGTGCCCCCCTTCTGACAGGATCTCACTGTGTAGTCTTCTCAGCTGGCCTGAACTCAGGCCTGGCCTTCAACTTGTTGGACAGCTTAGGATGACCCTGATCTCTTGCTCCTCCTGCCTCCACCTCCCAAGGGTTAGGATTACAGGCATTTGCTCCCATTCCTCATTTAAATAGCCTGCAGGACATAGGGCCTCATGCACGCTAGGTAGGCATTACACCAAGGGATCCACAGCCCCTTCAGTAATGTATTTTTTAAATTGTTTAAGCTATTAAATTTTTTTCAAGCTCAGGTTTGGTTTTTTTGTCCCCAATGCAATTTGAAGCAATATGAAGCCATGCTGCCAAGAACAGACAGAAAACCACCCCACCAATCTTCTCAGAAGTGAAGTTTAAATAGAACACGGAGGAGTGAAGAAGGGGCACGTGGATGGGACGCCCAAGAGGGTGGTATGCGCACACAAACACGCCAATGTTCATTTGGGCCGCGCTCTATTTGAGTGGAACTGGGCATGGAGTAGGACACAGCAGGCTGGCATGAAGCCAGGGACGTGGGCGTGCCAACTTCAGGAGCCCCTGCAGGGGGCTGAGGGCAGCTGGATCTCAGCTAGGGATATAGCTGTATCTGGGTACCTTCTGGGGGCCAGGAGGTCAGGGTAAGGCTGGTGAGGTGCCAATGGAAGCCAGGGGTCCAGGCAGAGCTGAGAGTTACTTGAAGGACATCCCATGTCCCAAGCCTCCAGCCACTGAAAGGAACTGAGATCACCGGCCCCACAGAAGGCAGAGTCCAAGGGACCAAGCCAAGGTCCTGTGGTCCTCTGACACTAGGCACGGGACGCAAAGTGGCGGAGCCTGGAACAGCTAAGAGCAAACCAGGAAGGAAGGCGGGTCTGGGGCAGGTCCAAGTGAGGGTCTCTCTTAACTTCAGCTCCTGCAGCGAGTCCCTGACAGAATAAAGAAAAGCCAGGAGACAGAAGGAAGGGACTGGGACCTGGAGGCTGTGAGAGATGAGCTGAGAGTGATAGACGGGCAGAGGCGCGTCTGAGGAACATGATAGCCCTGTTCTCCTCCCCAGGAAGCCATGCCGGCTCAGGCCTCTGGAGAGGCCGCAAGGACACTTCATCCGGCTTCCAACACTGTAGGAACTTGAGGGCTGGGGTCAGTGAGAGATCATAAGTGCTGGGAATCCAGCTGGGGCAGCTCGGGGGGCTGCTCTGCGGCCTTCTTTTCAGGAGTAGCCACATCTTTCTGGTCACCTGCTGGAGCTGGGACAGGGACGTCGTCTGCGGAGGAAATGGGAGAATGTCGTTAGACAATCCACGACTCCCAGGCAGACTCCTTCAGATCCAAGGTCCAGGGTCCAGAGCCAGTACCTGTGTCTGCACGGAACTGCAGCTGTCCCTCGGGTTTGGAAGGGGGAGCATTATGTTCTTGCTGTTGCTGCTTCCTTTGCTCCATCTGCAGGACAGCCTGCAGGAAGTGGACGCAGAGACAAGAGGTTAGAGCCAACTGCTAAGTGGCCACCGTACAGGGATTCACACTAGTTGGCATTGAGTTTCCTCCTGCTGTGGCTTGGGCATTCCCCCACTGAGCCCTTATCCCCCTGTCTGCTCATGAAAAATGGCTGCAGCAGCATAGCCAGGCGTGGACCCCCCCACTCTTACTAACAATGCATAAATGTATCCACTATCACTAACGCGGGAGTTACAGGCCATCCCACCTGAAGACACCCGTCAGGATACAGGAAAAGGCCACACGAGATGCAGATAAGGGGCCCAGGCTCCCCAGGGAGTCACCTGCTGCAGTTCTCTCTTCTGAGCCTCTAGGCGGTCCTGGGAGCGCCCCAGAGCCTCTGTCTCCTGGCTGAGGCGCTGGGCCTTGGCATTCAGCTCAGCCTCCCTGGCAGCAAGCTCCTCCTCAAAACGCCTCAGTTCCTCCTCTGTGTAGGCCGGATACATTTCCACTGTCTATAAGACACAGGACACAGGACTCAGCCTCACTGAAGTGGAAGGGTGAGAGGCTGGGGTGTATGTGTGCCACACCCAGCGACCTGACTGGGTTGGAGTGTTTGATAAAAGACTAGAAAAGAGAACAGGGGCCTAGAGATAGGGAATGGGAATAGGAGATCAGAAAACCAGAAGGAGGGACAGAAACCCAAACAGACCAGGAAGCAGCCAGAGGTGCTGAAGGAAAGGGTGGACTGGGAGATCAATACGTAGGCCAGAGAGTTCCCACATCCTCACCTTCCATCCTTCCCCGGTGTCCCCAAACTCCTTCCTCTGGGTGGATGCTAGGAACTCTTCCAGGGTCACAAGACGGTCCTGGTTGGTGTCCACCTGGAGAGCCAGGTCAGGGTTAGGGCTGTGCTGAGCCTGCTGCCCACTCCCCCCACAGCATGGCTTCGCTCACGTTCTTCATCACGTGCTCCCTCATACGCAGCCGCTCCTCCTCCATCTCTCTCATGTCATCCTCCTCGTTCTTCGGGTCATAAACCTTCTCCAGCTGCAGGGGGAAGGGAGAAGCATGAAGTGCTGAGAGGCCCAGGCAAGCCCCACTCCTGGAAACATCCTTCACCTCCCAGAGGACCATGGGGCCTGATGCTACTAGTAACAGTTTTGTCCCCAGGGGCTGCTGGGAGTTGTAGTTTTCTCCTGCACTCTCACTGATGGGAATGAGAGGCTAAAGTATGTCTAGCCCAGAAAGCTTCCGGCACACTCACCTCCTTGGTAAAGAGAGCTTCCAGTTCTTGCTCATCTAGGACACCATCGCTGTTGATGTCTGGGAGAAAAGAGATATTAGGGACAGAGGTTTGGACGAGTCTGGTCTCCAAGGAAAAAGCTGATGAAGGAATTGTGGGTGGTTGTGAGGTCTCTCAGCAGAGAATAGAATGGTGGCCATGGCCTGTGGGCATCAGTATCCTGCAGGGCCTGTTGCTGTAAGAACCAGTTCTGGCTGGGTGAAGTAGATGCAGGCAGATCTCTTGAGTTCAAGACCAGCCTGGTCTACAGAGTTCCAGGACAGTCAGGGCTACACAGAGAAACCCTGTCTCAAAACCAAACCAAGACCTGGCGATGGTGGCGCATACCTTTAATCCCAGCACTCGGGAGGCAGAGGCAGGCGGATCTCTGTGAGTTCGAGACCAGCCTGGTCTACAGAGCTAGTTCCAGGACAGGCTCCAAAGCCACAGAGAAACCCTGTCTCGAA